AAATCAGAACTTCTGCCTTCACAACTAAGTCTCAAAAAGTGGTGGTGGGGAGCCCCACTATATCTGAGCATTTTCTGAACGAATTTTGGCCCCATTCTTGCCCGAGAATCTTGGTCAAAGAATCTGAAGTGATTCTTCGACGATTCTTGAAGAATGATCTGTCGTAAGTTTCTAGTCCAAGAATTGTAAAAATCTGTATACAGATACTTTATCATGATTCTTGAACCAGACTTGCCCAATACTTGAACCAATTTACTACTAAGGTTAATGGTAATATTGATAATGAACATTTTTTTTTTTCTTAATTTTTTTTTAAAGTCGCATAAACTACTAAGGTCATGAGCGACTACGGTAGGGGGTAAACTTTTGTGATTGGAACTCGTTTTATTTCTTGGGCTGAACAGAATAATACACTTAAATATTGAAAATATTCATTGGTGTACGCCGGACTCGAACCCGGTCCAATGCTTTGGTAAGCAAGGACCGGATCCGATAGGCTACTGCGCGCCCGGATAATGAACATTATATTTTAATCGATGACGATAATGATATTGATATTGATAATGATATGAATGATGAGTCATCGTTAATGACGATGACAAAAATAATAATGTTGATAATTATTGTCTTTAATAATGATATTAATTTTGATATTGTTGATGTTATTGTTATTGTTGATGAAAATAACAATAACGAGAATGATATTACTATGAAGTTAATGAAAAAATTAGATCTATTTATGTTGATTAATAATCGTCATTATTAATGATACTAATTTTGATTCCAATATTGATAATAATTGAGATAAAGATAATTATATTAATGTTGATATTCATAATAACCATGATATTTTTATCGATAGCGATAATAATATTGATATCGATAGCAATAATTTTATTGACAATTAAGATCGTTAATAATAATAATTGTGTTAATATTGGTATCGTAATTATGATAGTGTATGTTATAAAGATGATGATGATGATTTGATGATGATGATGATGATAACAAGAATGAAATTACTATGAAGGTAAGTATGAAGATAATGAAAAAATTAACGATATTGATACTGATAATAATTGTCATCAATAACGACATTAACATTGATAACGATTGTCATTTAATGTTTAATATCATTAATCATTAATAATGATGATATTGATGATGGTCATCATGATTATCGATAATGATTTTATCCTTCATAACGATATTGAAGTTGATCCCGAAAATCATACCTCATAATTATAATTTCAATGATAACGATAGGAATATTAATTATGAGAACTATGATGACGTTATCGATATCAATAACTATAATAATAATTACCATGATATAGATACCGATGATGATAATGATTTGAATGATGATAGTGAAAGAAATGATGATATTGATGTTGATGCTATTTATAATGATCATGATATTTTCATCAATAACGATAATGATATTCATATCGATTATAATAATGATCAGGATAACGCTAAGAAGAAAGATAATCATAATGATACTTGCATTGACATTGAGAATAATAACGATTATGATGAAGATATTTAGATTGATAATGATAATGATAATAGTATTGATATTTGCAATAACTATGATAATCGTAATTATATAATAAACATAGATTGCTGTCAACATAATTACATAATAAATTACGTAAAGTAATAAATGTACTCAATATTTTATAAACTTAAAATCTTTTTTAAGTCTTAGTCTTTTTTTTTTTATTCTTTTTCCACCAGAGAAACTATCCTATTACTCTCACCGACATTCAGTTATCTAAATTTATTTATTGACTTGCTTTTTTTATATCGAATATTTTTATCCGAGAGAATTTTTTATGAAAAATAGTCTTTCGATTTAGAAAAGTCCCTATTGGACGTCTCAGTACTCCGTCAGATAAAAAATTACTTTTTTTCTCTCCATTTTTCAGTCGCGTCTGCTGGAAAAATAAAGTTATATTTTTCTTACTGACATAATAATTTTCGCTGGAAAAATTTTAGTGAAGCAATTAGATGGTACTTTTGTCATCATTATCATTTATCAATATTACGATTATCTGTCGTCTGCTATGAAATTTCTGACGATAGTGTTAATGTTAGTCATCAAATTTTTATAAAAACTTTATGTGAAAAGTACACGAAGTATACCGATAAATTTTTAGACTATCGAGTGACTTTCACCCCTCGGACAGCAATCAGTGGGTAATTAACGATAATATTGGGGAAACAGAAATTCTGTGCTTTTATCTTAATATTTTATTTTGTCTCGCTGGTAAGTTTTTAAATTTTCATGACAACACGCTCTGAGTCGTTTTGTACACGGAAAGAAAATTGAAGGAGTTTTTACTATTTTACTATTGTAATTTTTACTAAATAAAATAGTAACGGTGGACTATACTTCTCATTTAATAATTTTTACGATCTACTATTGTAAATTTTATCCAACAAATAAGACTAGCAAGAGTCTTAAAAAGTCTTACTTTTTACAATAGTAATATCGTATTTTTTCATGAATAAATAGTATTTTTTCTTCTAAAATATTTGATAATTAATAGTAATAAAAGTATAGTCCAGCTTTACAATAGTTGTATCGTAAATTTTTCCAGAAATTTTTTCCCGTGTATAATTGACTGCGATAATTAAACATCAAAACGATTGATAAATTATTCATAAGAAAGTTGATAGAAATAATAAAAAATTCGATCATAAAATGGTGACCTAAAAAAATTCGATAATAAAATGGTGAACAAGTAAAGAGTCTGCTTAAAAATTCTCGGATAGATAAATAAATTATTTACTCTAGAAAAAACTCACCATCTCGTTCCCCAGCAATAAATATCTTGATAAGTCTCGGGGCCGGCAAATTCGGTGGAGGTGGACCACCCTTGACAACTCCAGCTATCAGTTCTACTTCAAGGTTCATTTTAACCCTCTAAACTTTATCAACCTCAACAATTTTATTTATTTATTTCTTAGTTAAAAATTAAAATTTAACTTTTAGCTCAAAACTTTAAAATTTTATCGGTAAATTACATAATTCAAAAACATTAAAAAAAATATTTATATAAAAGATCAATTTCGGTAAATACTTTTTCTTTATCAACAATAAATATATCAATGCAGTCAACAATTAATATACTTTAATTATAAATACTAATATTGGCCTCAAGTGTCTCAACAAAAAATTACCTTAATTAATCTTACGCTAATTAGGTAACTTTGGTAAGGATTGTCTTCGTAAGTAAATGCTTGTCAGCAATACTGTGCGTTATTAGGAATATTTTTTTTTATACTATTCTTAACATTATTTAGAAAGACAATGGAATAAACTATTAATTGCGCCTTGACGTAGCTGCGGCGCTCGCTACGTCAGGCTTTCCGTCAATATTAATCTCCATGAAGATAACCTGCAACACAAATGATTTAATAATTTAAATTAGAATCATTATTATTATTATTATTGTTAAAAGGCAGTTCAGTAATGTGGAAGGATTTATTAACAAAGTGACTTAAAATATGTGGAATAAATGACTACTAATAAATCCCGGGGATTCCCGCAGAATTTAATTAAGCATGTCTATTGTTCGGGAGCTGCTTAAGCCCTCTTTTGACAGGAGAACGGACTATTTCAAATTGCCGGTAATGGAGGATCAATAAAACAGATAACGGCTCGAGCTGTCTCGCTTTTTGGTGTATTAATGGTTTCGGGTTTGGCAAACTCTTTATGTTGAGTTACAGGTTATGTCTCGTCTGTTCGACGTTGTTTGTTATATCGTCTATCGATTTATCGAATTTGTTTAACCTTCTACTAAATATGTATGAAGAGGACGTGTTATATGCCGAGAGATGTGTGGTGTGCAAACTTATCTTCGAGATGATCAATATTGCCAGTGGATTTTGCACATTAGAGAGAATGCCGACGCTTAATCCGCGCTAAAAGCACTGATCATGTCTAGTGATTGCTAAACGTCGTCGAGGTGATTTTTTTTTATTAAATATTTTCGTTTGATATGAATTGCAGATTAGAGGAAGATGTTGATTCGGAAAATTTAATATTTGGATGAAGATTCAATTGCTTTAGAAAGATTTGAATTTCTATAAGTTAAGAAATTAAAAATTAAGCGTTATGAGACGTGGATTGCTACATTTATGAAGATGATTTCGTTGAAATAGATTTATTAGTTTTTTTTAACAAAGTGAGCCAAATTGGAATAATTAATCAGTTCGTAATACTGCAAAATTAATCTGTGGTCTTAATAAGGACATGTTGTTATAACAAGATTTGTTAGTTATTACAACAAAATTATTCTGTTAGTAAAGTAAAATATTTAGCTACCCTTTTAAAACAATACTTGTTATACACGGAAAAAAAATCCTATGAAAAATTACAATGGTAACATCGTAATCCAGGACTAGACTTTCAGTATGTTGATTTTTACGATGCTGCCGTCTACAGAATACAATTTGAATTATTGAAAATTACGATGTTATTTAGTAAATTTTTTTTCCGTAAGAGCAAGTTAATAAGGACGCATACTATATGTTTTAATAACAGAGAGACAGAGTCCAGTAGTTTGTGACGCCACCACCGAAAGATGACCAACTATTGTATGAAGGGTCTTATTATGTGACTGAACAGAAAATTTCGATATTTCCTCCGATAGCGTAAGGGGATAAATCTAGGACTTGTGGCGGAGAGGACACCGGGTTCGAATCCTCGATGATACAGAATTATTTTTTCGGTGAACTAAACTTCTTTTTTATTTGAGTGATAGAAATTTACGATGTTACATCGTATAAATTATGATGTTTGAGTTCTGGTCCGGCGCTACAATGTCCTATACTAAAAATTACGATGTTTTCATCGTAATTTTTCGTACAATTTCCTTTTCGTGTACTATCTAACTTACACGGAAAAAAATTGTAAAAAAATTACAATTGTAACATAGTAATCTAGGATCAGACTTTCAATGCGGTCACTTTGACAATTTTACATTCTAAAATTTACGATAATAACCTATTCCATTTTCTGGACATTCCACCAGGTCCCATGTCCCGTGCTCTAGATGTGAGCGTGCTTCTGCTGCTAGTGCACGCTTCCACTCGGTCGATTCCGTTCCTCGGATCGCTTCTTCGAGTTCAACATCAGCCAATAACGCTAGTTCTTCGATAAACTTTGCGTCCATGAACTCTTCTCCCTCGTCGGTATTATCTTCATCCTTTTTAGGTGACTTCTCTGAATCACTTGAGCTTCTGTCATTTCGAGGAGTTTATCTTCCTGAAATAATGACGTTTCCAGCGGTCTTTTCGTTCTTGGAACCTCATCTACGGCACTTGGAATGAAAACATCGTTTGATGCTTCTTCGTCGTCTTCTTTCGGTGCTTCCTCTTCTTCTTGTGATAAATTTTCACGACTTGATGCTCGACTTGAAGTAATACTCGACGCACTTACGTATCTGTAAAGTTTACGAGGTCGTCCTGGCTTCCCAGATTTTTGTTTCTTGGGTCTTCCTCGTGCTCGAGCTGGTGAGGGTTCTCTTACAATTTCCCTGCATGACCTCCTGTCTCTCAGGACTCTCCCTGGCTCTGGATCCTCTTCCTGAGGGTGTGTATATTCGACGTCCAATTGTACGGCACTACGTGATCTCATCACGTTCTCTTCTATGATTTGTACATCTCTGGTGATGACTACCTTGCCATCGTCGTTTCGTCGTACTCTGTAGGCCTTTGCGGTTTCGCAATAGCCGACCAATCTTCCTTCGATTGATCTTTCCTCGAGCTTTTGACGTCCTGTTTCTTTTCGAAGTACAAACACTTTTGCTCCAAATACTCGCAGATGCTTTAATCCTGGCTTTCTACCGAACCATAACTCAAATGGTGTAGATCCTCCGTGGCTTCTACTTGGACAACGGTTCCTCAGGTAGTTGGCTGTCGTAATAGCTGCTCCCCAGTACATTGTCGGAAATCCTGCTTGGATTAGTAGGCACCTAGCCATGTCGACGATCATACGATTCATGCGCTCTGCGACTCCATTTTGTTGCGGCGTGTAAGGCACTGTTAGTCGCCTCTGAATCCCCTCGTGCCTCAGGTACTCGTCGAATTGTTTATTGCAGTACTCTCGACCATTATTAGACTGCAATGCCTTAATTTTAAGCCCTGTTTGCTTCTCTACGTAATTTTTATACGTTTTAAATACCTCGAATACTCCGTCCTTGCTCTTCAATAGGTACAGCTCACACCAGCCGCTGTAGTCATCTATGAAGGTCACGAAGTACCGATTTCCTCCTTCAGATTTCGTCCCTGAAGGTTGACATAGGTCAGAATGGACAATTTCGAGCATTCGCTGGCTTTTCTCGGCTCTCGGATAAAACGGCTTTGCCGTCAATTTTCCACGATGACACACGTCGCATGACGTCGTGTCCTTTTTCAACGGTTTTATCCCCGACGCTTGACCTTTTGACAGGTTAACTACGGCATCCATGTGCAAATGTCCTAACCTTGCATGCCATAGGTCTAAATCCGACGTACTGGCTCTTTCCGACGCCCTTTCCACTGCCTTGACTTGTTCCGCCTGCTCCCGTAGGTAATACAGGTCTCCTATGCGATCAGCGACTAACTTCACCTCTCCATTCAGGTCCCTGACGATGGCGTCGTCCTTCCTGAATAAAATCTCTCGGTCGTTCATAGTGATTTTCGATACGGAAATTAAATTAGTCCTCAGATCTTTAACAAGTAAGGTATTACGAAGATTTAGATCAATATTACCTGTGTCTGTCTTCGCCTTGATGTGAGCAAGCCCATTTGCTCTCGCCTTCGTCGATGCTGCATTCGCCATGTTCAACGTCATCTCACACTCCTGGACATCAGTCAGGAATTCGTCGCTAGCACACATGTGCGTGGTACATCCACTATCTAAGCACCACCTCGACCTTGAAGTCACGTTGTGGGCCTCCTCAGGTTGATCCACGACATAGTGGGTCTCTTCCGACGATTCGACGCTCCTCGCAGAATTGTGTTGTCGTTCAGGGCACTTAGCTGCCCAATGACCAATTTTTCCACATATGAAACATGGTTTGCTATTTTTCGACTTAAATTCTCTCTGTTGCGGCTTCCTTCCATACCGATTGCCTACATACAGCACGTTGTTGTCCTCTGCTGATTCTACAGATCTCCTACTTCGATTTTCATCGAGTATTTTCCCAATCAGCGCCTCTGTAGTCGGTAATTCGTCGTTGGATCTAATCGCACACCGAAAATTCTCGAAGCTTGGTGGTAAACTCTTCAAAATTAATACCACGAGCATATCACTTGGAATTTTGATGTCCATACCCTCTAACTGTTCGACGGCGTTCGTAAAGCTGTCCAGTCGTTCCCGAAAATCATCCTCCTCGTCGATTTTGAAAGATGTTATCTCTGTCAGCCACTCAATTTTTCTCACTGGTCCTTTCGACGCGTGAATTGACTGCAGTTTTTCCCATATTTCCTTCGACGTGTTGCACTTTGTGATCGTCTTCCATTCGGCGTTGCCAATCGACAAAATAATGTCCGCTTTGGCCTTCTCGTCACCGATTTTCCACTTCGCGATTTCTCTTTCCGTGGCGTTGCTTCCAATCGGATATGGTATTTCGCCGCTTACATAACCCCATCGGTCATGTTTCACCAGGATGGACTTTATCCTCAATTGCCAGACATCGTAGTTACGTTTGTCTAGTAACTCGATACGCGACGCTCCGTCCGCCATGTTTGGTTAGCTAATTTACGACCACGTGTTCACGAAATTTTTACTTGACGAATTTTATTTCTTAATTCTCACTTTTAATTATTTTATATATCACTCACTTACTTTCTCGCCACTGGGCCCATAACCTGTGGGAGTTAAGCAGGGATAGAGTAGATATAAATTATGTAAGAGCACCCTGATTAAACAATATGATTTAAAGGGGCTAAAATGATTTAAAATGATTAAATTTGAAATCATTTCAAATACTGCTCCTCATAGGAGTTAAATCATTTCTAATCATGTTGTTTATACAGGGCAGATTTAATATAAAACGACGTATGAATTTATTCAGTAACTAATTACAACGATAGATAAATACTTGCTACGACTTGACTCGACAACGTGCTAATAGATAAGAGACTCGAGTATACAATATTTCGGCGTGACTGCATGCGCAGTAGATCGACGCGTCGGCGCATGTGTGTGTGTAGTGTACGTGCGAATATTACTATATTACTATATCTCCAACAGTAACATCTACATGACGGATTATAATTTATATATGTTTAGTTATTATAACACATGATTTGTTAAGCCTATGCTAACATAATAATTTGTTACTCCAACTTTTTTATGTTGTTTTAACAAAAAATTTTTTACAGTTTCAGATTATTAAAGTAAAGCAATTTTCTTAATTTCAATCACTGTTGGAATATTCACGTTGCACTCATATAATAATAAAAATAGATTTATAGTTTTATTTACAAGCCAGCGATCAAAGTTATTGTATACTAAAATTTAAATGAACTAATGAAGAGAAAAAATATATCTTCACGGTAATTCGTGGTAGTTACCCCTAATCAAAAACTAGATTAAATCTCATCAGAGCTTGAAATTGATTCGAAATGAATCGCAACTTTTCGGATTTCATCGGATTCCAACAAAGCCTTCCATCGAAGATCGACGGTCAGACACATTATTCTATACTTATGAAAATTTTTTTATTCTACTTGAGCCTCTGTTAAATCCTATAAATCTGTGTTATTGATTATTTTATTTATGGTCAATATTTTTTGCAATAAAGCAATCAATTTAATTGTAAAAAATGAGATTATGAGGCGTACACTTTTTGGATTATCTAAACTTTTTTTGTATTTTATTTGATATCCGTCTTCCGGTTCAGCGAGAAATTCACGTTCTGTTAATTTCCTGGATTCGTTATATTTTCCTTTTATACAGTTTATGACATTTATTTGCTTAGATACAAAAAAGATATTTACTTACTCAAGTATTTCAGTTTCCAATTAACTTTTTGTTTTTTCTTATAAATCAAGAACTCAATATTTTTATAAATAAAATTGAAATGCATTTAATTTCGTAAAGAACGATTAATTTTTATTGAATTATTAAAAATTCATATTTAATTTTTCTAAATATTTTCTATTTAAAAGAGCTTAGCTTTTCTTCCTAAATAAATAAAAAATACTGTCTGGTTCTTTTTCTACTCTTATTAGAAATATTTAAATTTTTAGAAATTTTCTACATTTTCCTTTGATCAGCTGAATAAATCACATTTTTTCTATAGTACACGGAGAGAAAAGAATAGATCTTATTTACACTTTTGTCACACAACCGCGCTGATGCAAAAATACGACAGCATTCGCGCAGAACCCTTCTTTCAACATTAAATAAAAATTATTGTTTTTGAAGCTAAAATTTCGGGAGTCGAGACTTTTTTCCAGAAATTTCCTCTTCTTTAAGAATCTTCTAAATTTTTAATATGTAACATAGTAATGGTTATACCATTCTACATAGGAATAAGATCAATTCTTTTCTCTTCATGTATGCTTTCTTGAAAACCCATGTTTTGTTTTATACAGAAAAAAACAATTTTAAAGAAAATCTACTAATATATTATTCAAATCTTCAAATTTTTGATGAAACAAAAATTTTTTTTTTTTGTACTATACAATAAAAATTTTTTATTAAAAACTTAAAGTCTTAAATGAATCACTTGCTGTCTTTCTTTCAAATTATTTCTTTCTGTGTAAGAAAAAAATAATTTTACAAAAAAATACTGAAAATATACATTAGAATTTTTTAAGCCAAGAAATTCTAATGTATATATGGGTGATTCTCTGTAAGAATGTTTTTTGCTATCCCAGGCATTTTTTTATTAGAAAAATTGTTATTTTGTTACTAAAAAAAATTTATTACGAAAGTAAAAAAACATTTCTATTTAGAACATTGAAAACTAAAATGGAATAAATTTTGGTTTTTTTGCTATAAATTCGTAAACCACCAAAATCTCAGTCCCCTGGGCTGTCCCAGTCCCAAAATTAAAACTTTAAGATTAAATTTTAAGTTATTCGTCAATAGTATATAATTTGGTCCATAATGTTTATAAACTTAATTAGTTAACTAACAATCTTCTTCAATAAAAAGTACCGAAAGTTAATTTGTTCCATTAAATTCATTAAACCAAAGTATGTCCCAGGCATTTGAGATCAGTCCCCTGCCAGAAGTTCAAAGCCAAAAAAAAAAAATCTAGCGTGTTATTTTACCTTTTGTAAGGTTTATATAAGGATCTAACTAGCCTTAAGTTAATAACCATAGAACTGTCAGCGCTTTATCGCCATTTTATTTAGTGTCAAAGCACCGTTTGTGCTGGAAATATGTGTCTGGGCCACTTCAAAACTCAGTCCCCTGGCAGCTATTTTTGTTTATAACTTATTTATAAAATTGGATCCATAAGTCTTAATATTATTCTAATTAATGTAAACATTCATTGAGAACTTAAAAAGTTGAGTGCATTGAAATAGTTTGCTTCATTTTTCTCAATTTGATAAAAAAAATCAGTCCCCTGTCATGTTATGCATGCAAAAGATACACAAATATCGAAAAAGCAAAAATTAATTCGACTGTTTATTTATTACGATTAAGCTGATAGTTTTGTAGTCCTTGTTAATTTTTTTTCTAATAAAATCAAAAAAAATTTGGTCGGACAGTTTTGTACAGATTTAAGACGTCCTTACAGAGAATCACTCATATACAATCGGTAACTGAAAAATCTCTGAAAATACTGAAAATGTTAAAAATTTTTAACAATTTAAATTCTTGCAAAAAGAATGCAATTTTTTCTCAAAATTAATTTTTTCTCTCGGTACACGATTATTTTTTTTTTACTCTGAACTGAAAATTTTGTAAAAATTATAAAAATATTCCTCTAAATTTTAAGCTGACATCCTCAACATTAAGTAGGGTAGGGCGGGGCTAGTTGATCACTTTTTGGTACGACCTTCCATAACTTTAAGACGATGTATCGGATTTAATCAAGACATATACTGTTAGGTCCGTAATTTAGTCTTCTTCAAAAGGTGTAGCGACACAAAAACGGTCCGAGTCGAAATTTTCAAGTTATTCCCGGAAATACGCGAGCGCTCCAAATTGCTCAACGTACCCCACTAGTGAGGCTAGTTGAGCATGGGTATGAGGCTAGTTGTGCAATGGCTAAAATAGACGGAATGACTGTATAGAATGATATAAAAACAAAATAAAATTGTAATTAACAAGCAAATAATTAATTTATTATAATTCTACATACGTTTAATTATGATTATAATAATAATTATAAACATAACAATATTAATTATAATTATGTTATATATTTATTAATATAATATCAATATGAGTTATTTTTATTTTTACACATTATATTAAATCATCACATGTACAAATCAATTGATAATTATTAATTTAGTGAAGAAAAATTTCATTTTTCAATATTGAAAATCTAAAAGGGCTGATTTAACACGCAGTCAGCGCCGTGCTCAACTAGCCCCAATTGAGGCAACAAAATAAAAGTTAGGTTATAAAAGAATGATAAGAATTAAAAATAAACAATCATATATAATCGAAAGGGCAAACATTAAGTCATCTTTGAATACTTTCGTGATCACGAAAAAGCATTTTTAAGCGAGTGTAGGAGAAAAATTGTAGAGACCTGTTTTTTTTTTTTTTTTTTTTTGACGCAAAAAAAAAAAGAAAACGTTTTGTCAGTTAGTCTAAACATCGGACGGCAGTTGGCTTTCGCGCGATGTGTTCTCCTCTCCTTA